GCTGAGGGTGGCTGTGCCCTCCCAAGCCTCACCTGGAGCTTGCGGGCCATGGCCACCACCTCGTGGTCAGGAGGGTTGTACTTATAGCAGTTGGAGAACATCAATCGGACGTCAGCACCAAACTCCTGAGCATCACGGTACTCACGGGCCTCCAGTTTAGACTGGAAAACAAGACAGGTCCCTGTTAGCTGTGTCTGCCCAAGTGACCATGGAGAAGTAACTGGCAGCAGACGAAAGAGCTGCCTAGAGGAGCAAGTTGGTTTCTTGGCTCTCAGTTTTGTCAAGACTCTAGTGGGGGACAGGCCATCACCCCAGTTCTCAGCCTCAGGGCTGGGACTGGCCCTGCCAGCATCCCAGCTCATCTGCCTGGCTCACAGGCAGGTAGACTCAGAACCCACAGGAGGTGGAGCCTGAGCCAGAACTGAGGGGGAGAACTGATGGAGAGGGCTGGGCCCAGCTCATCATGATGACACAGTACAGGAGCTCGTCAAACGGACACAGCACTGTTCCTTGCTCTGCCTGCCCCATGTTTGGGACTACACTCCCAGAAGACACACGCAGTTAAGTTTTAAAACCAAAAAGATCTCAAAACACTATGGTGAAAATGTCGGCACTTACAGCATGCCTCCCACACAGAGGAGATAGCAAGGCCTTCCCCACCACAAAGAGGCTGGCAAGGCCGCCAAGTCCCAAACTCTCATGGAGCATCTACTGTGTGGGCAAGGTACCAGGGGCCCCGGGCAACCAAGGCCAGAGGGCTTGTCTTGCTTTTCCTCAGACTAGGAGAAGGGGTAGCACAGCCATCCGCAGCCACAATGGCCAACCACGGGGTCCCAGAGCATGTCCCACAGTGGCCAGCAGGGGGCGCTCAGTTTCTTCGAGTTGACAGGAAAAACCCACGCAGCCACCGTTTCAGGCCTAGGCCTCCTCTTGGACTGGAAAGGCTAGGAAGGCTCTGATGTGGAGGGACAGCCTGCCCACCTTGTCCCTCCGCTCAGGCACAGCCCACTCACCTTGATTGTGCTCATGTCCATGGGGTGCTTGATGATGTCACAGTAGTCGTGCAGGCCCAGCGCCTCCACGTCCACAGGCTTGTAGAAGGGCCAGGCATAGGCGGCGTGCTTCTTGGCAAACATCTCCTTGAGGATGCCGCTGCAGCACTTGAGCTGCTCTGAGACCTTGCTGCTCTTCTCTGGTGCTGGGTGCTGCTGAGAGTCGGGCACGTCCTTCTTTGGAGGTTTCACAGGCCGGCTGCTCTCCCGCCGCTGGCCCAGCTTGGTGGTCTTGGGCTCCGGGGGCAGTGAGGGTGGCTCGTGAATGGGGTCGATGGTGGTGGGGGTGGTGGTGTCTGCTTTCCTCTTCACTCCTTTCTTTGTCTGCCAAGAACACGGACGCCAACAGGCACAGTCAGAAGTGGCAGCCAGCACAGCTGCCCTCAGGGTCACCCCCAAAGCCATGCCCTGTCTAGGGGCCCGACATTCACACAGGATGGACCCAAAGATAACTGCACAGGCAAAGGGCCAAGGACAGGCAGACGGTGTCCCACCACTCTGCTCTGCAGCTGGGACAGGACCTGCCTGTGGCAGGAGAAAGCATAAAACTGTGTGCTCACTTGGAAGCCAAGGGACCTCTGGAGGCTGCTTACTACCTAACACTAGGGCCTCTTCCCAAGTGCCCAGGGGAGGCACAATTCAGAGACTATTCAGATGGCACATCTGCAAATATGTACAGTCTAAATTAGAGAGGGGCAGGGGGGCAGGAACCCACTAGGAGGTGTGACACAATTATGGGATCTTTTGAGTCAGCAGGGCAGCTGCTTCTGGGCTGCAATTTCAACACAGCAAGATCTCCCCAGAAACACCCACCAGTGCCCAGGACCCAGGACAGGCTTTGTGTAAAGCATGGGCAAGGACAGGGTTGCTCTCCTCCCTGGTGACAGCAGCCCTCCAGAGTCCAGGACACTCACCTTCACAGGCTGTGGGGTGGCTGCGATGATAGGTGGGTGGCTCTGTACAGGCTGGGGAGCTGGAGCGGGTGGGGGTTGTGGCTGGGGGGGCACCGGCGGGGGTGTCTGCAGTGGCTGGGGAGGCACCACTGTCATGACAGGGGTCTGGACGATGAGGTCTGGGGTGACGGCAGGGAAGGGGTGAGGCGTGGCCTGCACAGGAGGAGGATTCGGCTGAGGGGTCTGGGTCTGCGGAGGAGTTGATGCTTGAGTTGTGTTTGGTACCGTGGAAACGCCAGGTTTTGCTGTCCCTACGAATCATAATAATACAGGGAGTTACAGGCCATGCTAACGTCCACATGCTGGCTGACCTTGTGGGGACACACACCACACACAGTGAGCACACATCTGCGTGCTGCATTTGCCTGAGAGATGAACATCCCAGACTCCACTCTGCCAAACCCGTCCACCTGTCCCTGGGGCTCAGAGAACAGCAGAAAACCGCACTTCTCATTTCCTAGGGCGTCCTGGCTGCAACTCCCAACTCAGGCACAAAGACCCCTTCATGAAGCCTGGAGGCCTAGGCTCAAGGAGCAGGAAGCACACGCTGACAGGGGACAGAGAGCGGGAAAACACTCAGAGCTTCCAGGCACAGCTGCCCTTGTTCCCAGAAGCACTGCCTTCTGAGTAAGAGCTTCTGGCAGGGAGCCGGCAGTAGCTGCCCTCGCCAAGGTTTCTGGAAACTGGCAGACCCCCACCTCCTCAAGCCACAGGGGGCAGCTGGACTGTTGCCATTCATGACTGCCTCCGGCACTGCCTCCCAGAAGCTGTGCAGGGAGTCCAAACACACAATGGTCACGTGGCTCACCCAACCAGCTGCAAAAAGTGAGGGATTATGGTCAGAGCTCTAACAAGAGCGGATGGCCCAGGGTGCGAATGCCTGGGAGCATAACCTGGGCCACCACATCCTTCGTGTGCATGCTGGCTGCCATGAAAACGGACAAAGACACCCAGTGCCTTCATCTACCAGCTCAAGCAACACCCATGTTCTCTGTGCATCTCAAGGAGCAAGGGTGAAATCCGCTGAGTTTCCCATTTCTCATTCCCCCGGCACAACTGCTGGACTTCTTCCAGACTGGAACAGGAGGTGCCACCAAGTCTGTCTGCCCAGCGTGCAGCCCAAACCCCTGGTCCCAGGGAGTGAGGACCAATATCCTCATGTAAGGATAAGGGATGTGACTTACATGAGGATCAGGGATGTGATCTGATATGTACAAGAGCCACAGGGTGACATGTGAGACTAGTTCTCCTTATTTACCTTTGGGTGCAGCAGGGGATGCAGCAACCCCCTTTCTGCCACCACTTCAGAACAGCATGGGAAGCCAGGTGAAAGGCTGCTGCTCAGAGAAGCAAACAACTCACACTCAGGGACCACCTTGCAAATGTCACCCTTCTGCAGCATGGAGTTGCAAAGGACAAGATGTGGACAGTAGCTGCTGGTTTCCTAGACAGAGTCATTTCCTGGAGTGCGCAGCTCTGCCAGCTGGCCCCTGGAACCCTGTGTCAGTTGGGGGTGGTGACAGGCAGAAATGGATGCGGAGGGCTTTCATTTCAGATGACTGAGCATCAGAAGCAGGGATAGCTCTGACACCAGTGCATTAAGGTAATTCCAATTCCCAACCTCAAGGTTTAGAACTGAGAGTTAGTTAAAATGATTTCTGGTCATGTTAATGTCCTTAAAATGGAAAAGTAAAAACCACCTATGATACTGGTAGGGTCAAGTGTTCAAAAAATGTCAAAGTGCTTTGAAAAGTTACACTTTCTTTTTATCGTAAATCCATCACCTACCCTCAGAAAAGGCAGGGCCCAATTATTTCTGCTTAGAAGAGGCCACAGGGCCACATGACCCTGTGGGATGGATCCAACACCAAACCCAATCTCACATGTCCAAACACGGCATGCAGTATATAATGTCACCATCTTCCTGCCACTCCCAGCCCCCCACCGAACTTGGAAAAGGGACAAAGGTTGGAGAGAAAGCCAATTTACTTGCTATTTCAGTACTCTACCTGCTTCTTTCCTCCCACGTCCTCTTCCTTTTGCCTGGACTATCATGATCTCGGTTTCTTCTGTGGGTAGTTCATTTATTTTTTGCAAGAAGAGCTTTTCCAGAGCTTCTGCCATTAAGACTATGTCATCTCCAGGCTGGATAAGGAGACACAGGGGTAGAGTCAGAGGGCCCTCCCCTCCCCACCTTTGTAGACAGGGCACCCCATGCCACCCCCTGCCCCCAAAGCATGAAGCGTCGTATTCCGGGTCCTTCCCCGATCTGCACCCAAAGGAGCCACAATGGCTACACTACCAGGTATCACAGAGGCTTGTGTTCCCACAGGTGTGCTGAGCCTACACTTGTCTACCTACACCTCCCTCATCTTTTAAGCTCTGGCCTGTCTGAGAAGCCATCCTAATGCCTTAAGCATCTGCCAAGCTCAGCCAATCACTGAAAGGGGCCCTCCTTTGACACAATTCAGTTTCACCAGAAATACTTGAATGACACAGGATTTCTTGCCATGATACATTAGCAGGGCCCCAGCAATGCTCCCCAATGTACCCCCATGGCAGCTTACCAGGACTCTGGGCACTGCACATCTCACACTAGTTTAGGGGTCCCACTCTGTCACCTCATCTATAACATGCTGTTCCCACTCAGTTCTAAACTGAGAGCCTGGTCTGCACATTTTGCTCAAACCTAAGTGGTGAGAGCCGAGACTTTAAAAAACACAGTAAACTTCAAGAAACTCACCTACCCATCTCTTCTGGGCATTTTTACCCACTACACCAGCAGAGGTCAAAAGCTGAGTTCTGTATAGTGTCTCCCTCCAGAGTCGTTCTATTTGAAAGGGTTGATTTTAATCACATCTGTGGTCTGAACTGTAAACAAATGATCTGGCTTCATGGCACAGCCGAGCCGAAAGGTTTGGCTACGGGGTTAGGAAGTGACCTTCAGGTCTACATGTAGGATCGGGGGGACACTTCATCTATGGCCAAGAGTTATCGACAGTCATGTCCACAGTTCCAGCAGACCATCACCCACAGAGCAACTGAGCTCTGCGCCGGCCCCATCACACCCTCTCTCACGTGGAGGTCTGTTTGGGCACACCTCTGCACAACTACATTTTAGCAGGCTCTTTCCTAACAATTTACATCACCCAAATGGACTTTGTCATGAGTCGCCACTATTCTCCTCACGCCTTCTCTACTAGACATGCTCAGGAACCAAAATCCCAAGGGCACCAGAAGCACATGCTTCAGGCTAACAAGGACGGCTTGCAAGTTCAACATGGCCAGCACCCTCCTCCCAGCAAAAAAGCCCATACCCAGCCACAGGCACAACCACAGGTCTCATTACCTCTACCTCCAAGGGTCTCCTCTTGCCAGACTCCAAGCCCAGCCACACCCAACACCCCTGCCCACGGGCTCCTGACATGCCCACTGCCGTCGCCTCTCCTCCACTCTCCCCAGGGCAGCTGGACACCCACCCCCATATCTCACCTTGTTGTAGATGTAACAATTTGTAAACATAGTGTTGAAGTCCTGGATACATTCCTGAGCATTCCAGTAATAGTTGTTTTCCAAGCGCTTCTTTATTGTTCCCATATCCATAGGTGTTTTAATGATCTTATAGTAATCCTGGAAAGCAGAGAGCAGAAGTCCAGTGTCACCTAGGCAGCCAGGCAGCACAAACGCTGGGCTGGCCAGGCTGGCCTGGGGACCTCACCCTTGGCTGCTCCACAGGTAAATCCACGGGAACCACAGCTCCTACTGGTATCAGCAAGTGATCTCCAGGGGGAACACCAAAATAAAGTGGAGTGGAGCGGGGAAGGGTTCCTGAATGCTGGAGAGTAATCCAGAGGGAAACATACACGTTTCCAACTGCTCTATCTTGGAACAGGTTGCCTTTATTGAAATGCACATTTTTTCTTTTTATAGATGCTAAAATATTCTTTCACTTTTAATAAATAAGGGGGAAACCAGGGAGCCTTTTAAAAAGCAATCCTCACCTAGTAAGAGAATCCATGGCAGGTCCTACTTGTCCCCACCATTTGAAATTTTACATGTCCATAAAATGCAAATTTCCCTGGCGCCAATGCTGGAGCCCACTCTTAATCCTTGGCCCTGGCACTCCTGCCTCCTTGTCACCATGAAGAGCTGCGGAGCATAAGCTTCCACCCTTAGTCAAGTTCACCGGACTTATGTTTCTTTCACTTGCACACAGTCTACCACTAAGGATTCTTTAGTATCCAGATACAGTTGAACGACCACGTTAACTGCCAAATGACAAATCTGGACAGCCTTTACGATCCTTAGTTTAAAAAAAAAAAAAAAAAAAAAAAATTGGCCATCCCAACCCTCAAACCTTCAGATCTTACTCTCTTTAGGTGCCAAACAGAAGGAGCCAGATAACAGATGTAAATGTCTTAAAGTCCCTGAAATCAAACTGCATCATTCTCACAACTTTTTCTCTAAATCTAAACCTATTCTAAAACTAAGTTCATTTTTAAAAACAACCACAGAAGGAATGTGGGGACAGATCAAGCAGTACCTGAGTTTCCAAGTGCAAGAATCACAGAGGGCCAGGCAGGGGGCTGCACCCAGACAGCAAGCCCCTGATGACTAGACCAGCTCAGGCTGTTGGCCTGACCCACTGAGAGCCAAACTTTCTGAGCCATCACCCTGACTGGGGAGAGGTGCTCCCGTAATTAAGTTTGAATGGCGTATCAGAACCAAATCCAAGTGGAGTCCCAAGGTAGAGGCACAGGCTGCAGATGGAGAGGCTGTTGCAGGGAGGAGAGAGCAAGTATGCTAACAGCAAGCACTGAGGCCCTGCTCGGGAATGGTAGTGGACAGTGTTGGAAAGGCCAGCACAGGGGATGAGTGTGGGGTTTTGAGATGTTCTGACATCCACCAGAAAGAGACAAGGGCGACCTGCTTACATGTACGGGTTTGGCACAGGTCATGGAACTGCCCTGGGGGTGGGGGCTACAAGTGTACGCCTGGGTACCTTAGGCAAGTGGTCAAGAGAGGAGACTGGAAGCAGACTATCGACACCACTGTCTATGCTCTGACCTCCTTCACCAAGAGAACCAAGTCTGAATACATCTATCACAGTGGACATTTAGATTTTATTCTATGGCCAAAGGTCACTGAATTGGCCACAGTGTGTCACATGGCTCAAGGGCAAACAGAACAGTGAAGAGGAACTGGGGTGAAGACAGAGAGAACGGTGGGGAAGAGGAACTGCCAGCCTGGATAGTAAGGTTTAGGGGCATGACAGGAGATCAAAATGCGGGTGAAGACCTAGAAGGCATCAGGAAACAGACAAGGAATACTTTTTGGGGTGGCCTTAACATCTCCTGAAGAAGGAAGTCCCCGGAAAACAGCTTTAGCATGACGATGCTCCTGATCAAGCATCCCCTTTGGCTCAGCCCCCACCAAACACCCTGAGACCACTCTCATCCAGGAAGCTCCCTCCTCTGCTCCTCACTCTTCCATCTCTGAAGACATCAGATCAGGGCCACCAGGGATCAGTCCCTTCCTCTTATGTCAGAGCTAATGAGGGCAACGTCAACAGTCATAGGGACAGGTAGCTTCACACTCTGCCCAGAGCAAGAATGTCCTGGCCACTCTCCGGCCTGCACTTCAGAGACTGACCTTGAACTCCCAAACCCCATGGCCTAACCAACCACCCATACCTGTCTGTCCCGCTGGTCAGCACTGTTCCCTCAGCCTCACCTGGGATGCTGCTGCTTCCCGGCAATCTCAAGTCCCCCAGCCCTTCCTTCTCCTGTCTTCACCTTCTCAGCCCTCCCTGCTTCAGTTCCCATTGTGTCTTCTTGTAACAAGCTGACCCCTCTGCTATTCTGGCACTGATGTGTCTCCCTTCAAAGCCAAGCTTCTTGAAATGGTGGCTTCACATCCTCACCTTCGCATTCACACCGTTGCAAATCTGGTTTCTACTTCTGTATCACGTCTTCCTAAGGTCACCAATGCCCTCCTAAAGGTCAATAGGATGGTCAGGTCGGAATCCTCATCTCTTTGACTTCCCTGTAGCTTCTGATGTTGGAATCTGGGGAAATGCTCTCTTCTGTAAGCCTTCTGCCTTCCCCCCAACCCCTAAGGGCCTCACAGCGCTCTGGGTTCCACTCTAGCCCCCAGCTCCTTCTCTCCTGGTTCTGTGCATCTGCTCTGAGAATGTCACTCTCTATTATGGACCTTGCCCAGCTCAGCTAGAGACTGGTGCAGTGAGCTCCCTCAACAGTCTCCCTCCCGCAGGCCAACACAGCTGACTGCCTCCACTCCTTATCTTGGTCAAGAGAGAGTGGGGCCCCTCTTTTGCCTCCATACCTTTCCTGAGCCAGCTCAAGACCCAGACACATACTGCCCTCTTCTGATTATCTTCCCCTGAGTGCACGACACGTATTCAGTGAACCAATAGCACCAGACAGTTCTTACAGACACAATGGCTTTAAACTTGGGAGTCTGGATGCCTGGCAGAGGCTAAGGCTGCTCCTATACATGAGTAGCTCTAGAGTGCACACACCAGCCTGGGTCAGTGGCTGCAACCACCTAATACACTTGCCAGGGGGTGTACGGGACTTAGCAAACAGTAAAGGACAATTTAAAGACAATTAGTCTTTGGTGCTTTAAAGAAAAGAAGAAAAACTAAAGCATTTCTTCCATCTGCTCCCTGAGGTTCAGTTGGAGATACAAGTTGTGCTTGCAGAACAGTTTGCTAGGGATATGGGCAAATGGAAAACTCTCTAGGGAAAGAGAAGAGGGGTGGGCTCACAAAAGGCACAAAAGCAAGTGTGCTGCAGTCAGAGGGAGGGAGGGCAACACCGCCTGTGCAGCTGCAGCCACAGCCACCTTTCTCCAGCTGGGGTCACTTCCATGTACTTGCGCTCCCTGGGAGGTAATCCACTACTTTTCCCCACTGTGTGCTCTGGGTGACAGTGACGATGATGCTAGGTGACTGCTATTGCGGCAAGCCAATCCCCCTCTAGCATAGTCTGATCAACTACGTCCACTTATCCTTGATCAACTATGTACACACCTGAGAAAGGAAGGGGCCAGGATGGCCAAGTGCTCTGACTTCAACTCACCATGGAACTGCAAGTAGATATGTAGGCCTTCCTTTCTCCCACTGCTTCAACCTCTACACAATTTTCCCCAGGATTCCAATATCTAAGAAACCAGTTATTGTTAAGCCAATTAACTTGCTCTTTCTCCCCGATTTCAACTGATTAGAACTGCTGAAACCACTCACTCAAGGGCCGTGAAGCTCTCACCACGACTCCAAATGCATCTCCTACTCTCTCCCAGGATCTGTCCTGACCAGGAGACATGCAGGAGGAGACCTTGACGACGGCAGCCCTGGGCCCTGCCCACACTACTCACAGGGAGGTTCAGCTTGACGGCATCCACAGGCTGCTGGAAAGGCCACGCAAACTGGTGTTTCCATAGTGTCTTGAGCACCACTCTGAGCAGGTATTGCAGTTGGTTGGTCTGCCTCTTGGGCTTGTTAGGGTTGGAGGTCTCCGGGGGCGGGGGGTTGGTGCTGGCTGCGTTGGCTGGCTGAGGTTGGGCCTGGGCCTGCGTTGTAGACATTTGGGAAGTTTCTAGTCCATCCCCCATTACTGGCAGATTTCTCAATCTCGTCCCAGGGCCGCTCTCCGCAGACATGCTAGTGATCCCATCACATTCTTCACCAGGCACTCTACAAAGGAAGAGAAGAGTCCTCGTGAGAAATCAGTTAGCAGATGGGCACTGCTCAGAATGACAAGTCCTTCTGGCTGTGGTCTCCAAGGACTGAGCTCCCCTGGCAGCAGCTGGCCAGGTTGGCCAGAGGGGCCACCCCATGCTTTGACTGAAAGGGTTCCAATATCTCCTCTCCCCAAAGACTTACCCTCCAGCAGGGAGGAGACCACATACCAACAGAGGAGGCAGAGTGAGGTGGTGAGAGCCCACTAGGAACCAGCAGGGGCTCTGGGAACTATGAAGATCATGGGGAAGGAGATACAATGAAGCCACCACGTCTCACAAACCTGCACATCCCTTTTCCCATCTGTGAGCTTGTAGGAGATGCTGCCTGTGTGTGGAAGAGGATGATCTGCAGGCTCCCACATATGACATTTACATTAAAATTGTTTGCACTTGTCACACATGAAGCATCGAGCTAAGTCAGTAATTCCATTTGGTGGGCCAGGCAAGGAGAAGCAGGAAGGCCAGGTCCGCCCACCCATGGATGGTTCACCCAGTCCACTGCCAAGTGCTCAGGGCAAAGCCATAAACTTACTAAGAATATTTTCTTGGTAACCTAAATAATACAGGTTTGCTGAGGAAAAAATCTGCATGTTTACTGCTGATAAAACAAAAATGAATCCATACTAGACCTATCATTTTCTTCTTTTTTTTTTTTTGAGACAGAGTCTTGCTCTTGTTGCCCAGGCTAGAGTGCAGTGGTGGGATCTTGGCTCACTGAAACCTCCGCCTCCCTGGTTCAAACAATTCTCCTGCCTCAGCCTCCCGAGTAGCTGGGATTATAAGTGGTCACCACCGTGCCCGGCTAATTTTTGTATTTTTAGTAGAGACGGGGTTTCACAATCTTGGCCCAGGCTGGTCTCCAACTCCTGACCTCGTGATCCACCCACCTTGGGCTCCCAAAGTGTTGAGATTACAGGTGTGAGCCACCGTGCCCAGCCGAGACCTACCATTTTTCTTAACTATGAGGCACGCCCCCAGTGGCAACACAGGTCCCTGCTGTCAGTGCCTGTCTGAACACCTGCTCTGGTACCTCCCCTCACCTGAGCAACTCCTGCTGAGGGCCATCCCAGCTTTGCAAACCCTGCCACAAGCATCCTCACAAGGGTGGTTCTGAACATCTGTCCAGTTTTTCCAGTGGGACAAATCCCAAGATAGCTGCAGGTCAACAGTATGCATGTTTTTACTGCCAAATTGCCCTCTGGAAACACAACCCACCCCTTGCAGTGACTGAGTTTCCACACTGATGATTCACGAGAAAGGCACTTGCTCAGATGTATACTGGCCATTTGCATCCTTTTTGCGACACTTTTCTACTGGCAAAAAGTATATATATATGGTCGGCTTTTTAAACTCACTTCCAGTAGTAAGAAAAACTTTGAAAGCTCGGGGCTGACTGCATCTAACAAGCATCTCTAGTAATAAACTTAAGAACTCAGTGGAGATATCATTCTGGAATGAACTTTTAGTGGGTGCAGAAGCAGCTTTATGCCTAGCACACACTAGGCACCCGAGCTACCAGTGAATTACTTTGTGTAATTTATTTAAACCACGATTAACGATTACACAAGCTTTTTTTGTAAATGCAGTTCTGGCAAATAATCCTATTTTAAAAGTGCCAAACGGAGAATTTGCTACAAAGCAATTCCGTGGACTAGGCTGTGGAGATAGGCGGCCAGTGAGATAGGGGAAGACACAGGGACAAATGACACCAGCCACATACCAGCTTGCTGGGAACCTTGGGTCCAGTGTACCAGTCTTGGTCCAGGCACAGAAAGATTACAGGACACACCAAGTGACTGGACACAAGTATTGGTAGAAGGACAGCATCACAGACAAGGAAACATGTCAGTGGGGTTTAAATCCCACTCACATGTGGAGTCAGCTGGAGAGGGCTTCCATGCAGCAGGACCAGCAAGTCCAAAGTGACTGAAGGGGACAAGTGTGATGGGGCCAAGGGGAGGGGAGGCCTAAAGGCACTGGGGAAGCCTGGATCCCGGGATGGAGGGTACACAGAGTGAGGCCAAGGAATGCCATGCAGTTTGGTTTCTACAATTAGATTTCTCCTAGAAAGCAGCTCCAGAAACACACAGCTGATGCTGCACACCAAGCACACGCCAGGTGAGTGATGGCAGGCAGGGACGGGAGCAGCCCAGCCACAAGGACACAGGCCGCCAGGGGGCAGAGCCAAGCTGTCCCAAAAGGAAGCAGCCCCCATAAATTTTCCATTAAGTAATGACGTTCTGGAAATCTTGAAGCAATGCCCCTGAGGCAAGATGAGGCCAAGGACTTCTAGAACTTCTGGGCTGGGCCATGCTTGTCTCTTTCCAAAAAGACTTACAGCAAAGCCAAGGGATGAAAACTCATGTGTGCTCTGGGCCAGTGACCACTCTTCTTCACCTTCTCACCAGGCTTAGACAGGCCCTTGACCCAAGAAAGCTGAATTTTCTTTTTTTTTTTTTTGAAACAGGGTCTGTTGCCCAGGCAGTGCAGTGATACAATCTTGGCTCACTGCAACCTCTGCCTTCCGGGGTCAAATGATTCTCCCACCTCAGCCTCCCCAGTAGCTGGGATTACAGGCGTGTGCCACCATGGCTGGCTAATATTTGTACTTTTAGTAGAGATGGGTTTCACCATGTTGGCCAGGCTGGTGTCAAACTCCTGACCTCAGGTGATCCGCCCACCTCGGCCTCCCAAATTGCTGGGGTTGCAGGCGTGAACCACCACGCCCGGCCAGAAGCTGAATTTTCTGCTCACAAGAAAAAACGGTTTTCTACAGAAAACCTGACTCTTGAACCTTGCCTCATTTGGTGTTTTAAGTCATTGCAAAAGCCAAAATACCCTTCCCCAGCCAGCTCACAAGTGATGCACAGTAACAGTTAAATCCTCAAAAATGTAACACTGCTTCTGGCCTCATCCCCACTTTACAGATAGGGACACCAAGGCAGAGAGAAGTACGTGACCCAGGAGTGGGAAGATCAGGTCTAAGCAGATAGAGTGGCCCAAAACCTGGCATCTGATTCCTGGGTAGTTTAAGTTTGCCTCTGAACTAAGGAAATCCTCACTAGTGTGCTGCACACACACACCGGAAGTGTCAAACACAGACGGTCGTGACACAGTGGCCGCCATCCTTAACACACGCCCAGGTCCCTGAGGAAAGAAACTGCTGGAGGTTGTCTGTTCGAATGTAAAGCTATGACATGTTCGACACGAGACAAACCTGGGAGCTACCAGTACCCCAAAGTTTCTTTAAGGAGGTTCTGAAGATAACAAATGAAAGTGACATCTGGCCGGGCGTGGTGGCTCACACCTTAATCCCAGCACTTCGGGAGGCCGAGAAGGGTGGATCACCTGAGGTCAGAAGTTGGAGACAAGCCTGGCCAACATGATGAAACCCCCATCTCTACTAAAAATACAAAAAATTAGCTGGGCATGGTGGCGGGCCCCTGTAATCCCAACTACTCCAGAGGCCGAGGCCGGACAATTGCTTGAACCTGGGAGGCGGAAACTGCAGTGAGCCAAGATTGTGCCACTGTACTCCAGGCCTGGGCAACAAGAGTGAAACTCCGTCTCAAAAAAAGAAAAAGAAAGAAAAGAAAGTGACACCCATGGCCCCATAAGGGGGATCACCATAAGATGCCTGAGACTCCTGCAACCACTCTGGGCCTGTGCAGCACCTGCACTTCAAGGGACCATACTGACCTACTGCTATGCCCACAGCTTTCCCATGACCACAGGAAAATAAGACGCTTGGGAAACTTCAAGAGACCACTCTTATGGCAATGACAAGAAACATGAGGAAAACCAACCACTTCTAGTCTGTTATAGGGCAAGAAAGAGAGGTACAGTGAGAACTCCTATGTGAGAGCCAGACGACTTTTCTAAGGCCCAGATTTGATAAGGTAAGCCTCCTTGGGCGAATTCTTCCCACAGCGGTTCCCCCCCACCCCCCACTGCCTCAGACCCCTAGCATCTAGGCTCCAACAAGTCAGCCACCCCTGTCACCTTCAGCCTTTGATCTGCTAGCCCTACTGCCAGACAGATGGAGGGACACAGACAGAGGCTCACAGGTGCGTGCTCTCTCTCCCTCTCTGGCCCACAGCATCTGGTGCTTCCCTAATCTCCATCTAGTGAGTTCCACGGTCAGCCCATAGTGGGCACCCGTGGGAACTGAAGGCAGGCTCATCTTTATTTCACTTTTGTCTTCCCAGCACACAGGAGGTGTACTCCCTCAGTGACCACACCCAGATTGTCATCCTAGGGCTTCCAGCTCAATCTCAAAGCTCTGGAAAAGGAAAACAGTTCATGCTCTCACATGGGTAAGTGGAGACCACCAGACACAGTCACTCACTCAGGCAACAGGTCCTAACATGCCCTGCCCTAGCACTCAGTGGTTGACACGGCATTCTCCCAAGTGATTAGGCAATACGTGGGGTGAATACCGTGGAGGAGAAGGGTAGGGCTGCTCTGGCCATGGACGAGGCCAGGAATTTGCTCTGGTCATGGATGAGGAGAGGAATTTGCACTGACCCACGGGACAGGCGGCATCTCTGAAGAAGGGACAGAGAATGAGACCAGAGGGGGAGGAAGAGTGTGTGCTCTTCTGTGGTGGGGGTGAGGCAGGCATCGGCAAGAGAAGGCACGCCTGGCATAGTTAACAGGAGAGAACATCTTCAAAGTTTTCCGTTGAAAATATTAAAAAATGCTGCTCCCTCTCCACTGTCATACTGACCTGTGGCCAAAAAGCAGGAGCCACCATTGACTATGTTAAGAGTTAGCTGAAGGTCAACGGAAAGGAAAAAAATTTCGCATATTGTTTCCAATCCAAAGGCGGCTATATAATCTTTTTTTTTTTTTTTTTT